ATATAACAAATTACAAAACATTACACTGTTTATTTGGGATGGATTTCATGCTTAGCAATATGGTAAACAGTAAAATATTATGATATGATAATATGATATGATATGATATTTTTTCATCTGAACATGCCATCGTACAATTTCTTCAAAACTCTTTTCCAGACACGCATAGGTTATTTTGGGGCGATTATGAGAGAATAATCACTAGGTTATTAATTTCATGTTTTGGGGAGAAGAAAAATACATTCTATAGTCAACTTTACAAACTTTTTTTTTTAATTTAGCTATATATCTACATACCATCGAAATATGCGTAAATATAACTAGAAATATAAGCTAATAATATGAGCGCTTGATAGTAGTCAATTAGATTCTGTCATGTAAAGGTCCACAACCCATTCAACACTAACCAAATGTTGTTTTATTACAAAGGTGGTAATTTATATTGCTGTATCTATCTAAACTGCTTAAAACGATGAGTCATTTAAAAATAATACTTCTTGCATACTGTAATGTTCATTTTCCGATACCAAACTGTACAGTTACGTAATATAGTAGTTTATGCAAGTCGCCACTAAGTAGTACGTACGTTTGATTTGCTCATAACATGACTTCATAAATACACAATTTAAAATGTCCGAAAACAAATTTATTATAATTGTTGCTGTGTTTAATTGTTCTGCAAACAGGTAGTTAACTTTGAGATTCACAACAAATGTATTTATGTCTTGCGTTTGGCCTGTGTATAATGCAACAACGGTTTATAGTGATTTTTTTCATAGGGCATTCACAACCAACTTTTTGTTATTTCAATTTCGTTTTACATCATCGTATTTTAACTGAGTATGTAAAAATACGACAATACTTTCTTACTGCAGTAGTGAATGCAGAAAGGTTGTATGGATCAGACAGTATTGGTAACGGTACTCTTCGCGTATTCATAGAATGGCTTGGACAATGGATTGATGTTATCGGCATGGAAGGCTGGGGTTTTCAAGTCGCTGTGGTTGCTTGCAGACATCTTGGATTTACAAGTGCAAATTCCAGTATGTGATATGTATTTAGTGATATATATATATTCACTGATTATATTTTATGTTAATTTAATCAAATGTATACATGTGTGGATTGTTGGTACAATAATTGCAATAAATGATTTCGGTGTTATCAGATATAACAAATTACAAAACATTACACTGTTTATTTGGGATGGATTTCATGCTTAGCAATATGGTAAACAGTAAAATATTATGATATGATAATATGATATGATATGATATTTTTTCATCTGAACATGCCTAAAGTTCAGGTTATTTGATTAAACGACTTCAGATTTATCTGAAAGGATAATATGTGTATGCACAACCAGATTTATCTGATGATATTGAACATTTAAAAGAAATCGTATTAGACTTCAGAGTTTGCATGACCAAATACATACGGCATTATTTTTTTATTATTTTCAGCATGGTCAGGCAAGATACTGTCATTGGGAATGGAAGTTGGATGTGTGTTAAAGTGTTCGGGCAATGAGCTGTCTCTATACGAATGTGAATCCACTTTAATACGTGATGAGATCAATACATTTACCGGGATAACGTGCACCAGTGAGCATTGACCTACATTCAAACAGCTTTGATTTTTTTTAAAAACAAGCATAGTTTATCTTAATTATTTTATTTGTAATTTTATAATATCATACGTGTCAAATGACATTATTTAACTTGTTATAGATCTGACTCCAAAAATAATGGATTTTACAGTTCCGTAAAAATAATAATTTTCGATATTGTTGTCACATTTCCGTTCGTACACATTCTTTTGATTATATTGTATGCAGAACCAATGTAGCATTTGACGGAAATAGGAAACGTGATAGCACGCCTCGCATGAAATCTGTTTGGTGACATTTCGGGTTGTTATCTATCGCTAAATTGAAAAATATAAACATGCAGTACGGGATCGCTTCCTCTTTCACTGCGTGTTAGTTACTAAATAATCACACTGCCTAATCCATGGATAGTTTGAGTTGTTCCCGATATAATCTCTAACTTCTATACTTCTATGTTTGAATAAATTCCAATTGAAAATTGTCTGACCAATCGTAGCAATACTGAATTTAACAACACCCAAAATTAATCCGAAATGAGTGCACCTAACTATTAACTATAATTACAGATGACGAGTGGGATTCGTGGTCTCCATGGAGTCAGTGTACATGTGGATTTCGTAACCGTACACGATCATGTGTTGGTGCAACGTGTGAGGGATCATCATACCAACAGTTACATTGTCTTAAATATGGTATTACATCTATATCATTGACTACTTGACACTCATGGAATGTTATGACATATAATATAATATAAACGTGGCATAATATAACATTTAAACTATCCGTGCGCGCTGAGCGTGCATCGTTGGCCGATCAAGTACATGCTTGACATAGCGCAGTGTTACAAAAGCTTCAATAATGCATCACATAATAAAGTACCGCTGTTCTTCAAATATTCCTAGGGCTGACTCAGTGCATTGATCTTGTCCATGTTAAATCACACAATGAAAGCAGAATACATTTCAATGAGTGGGTGATAGTTTATCGTGAATATCGAATTTTATGGTTTCACTGTGAACCCGTGCGGATTTAATCGGAGAACACAATTTTCGTGAGGCATAATTAATGATGCGTTTTACCAATAGCGTTTTCCATTTTCGTTTTTGAGAATCTGATCTTTATAACAAGAAGGTGACAATTGTTTATAAATGTATGGTTTATAATGTTCCAGATTCATGAACAGTATTATTAATATTATAATCTAATTATTGTTTCTAATGTTGAGTTTTTCAACCACATCTAGAAAGTCAGAATAGGTGACACACAGGCAAATATTTGTATATTTTATTTAATATATTATATCAAAAAATTTCATAAATGGCATATTTCAATAGCTTCACAAACCAATATATTTTAGAACAAATGCGTGAAGAAAACATAACATTGTAATTACACAAAGTATTAAAGTCTGGAAGCCAATCTCAAAAAGCAAATAGACTGCAAGTTCGATGTATTTCTATATTTTCAGTCGATGCAACAGATTTGACACATGGTGATGGTGTAGTTGCGAGTCAGATCAGCAACTATTACGGGTACCTTGCTTTACTCGCACTTGACGGCAATAGCAATCCAGACTTTTCAGGAACCCCTCACTGCAGTCACACCCTGGAAAGTCAAGACGCCTGGTGGAAGGTGGAATTAGCTCGAATTTATACCATCACAAATGTTATAATAACCAACAGACTCGACTTCAGTAAGTGTAATAACAGTGTTGTAATGTGTTATGCTTGTCTGACATTAACATTTTATCCCTTATTACTTATTACCGTAAATATAATTAATTATTTATGACCTCTATTTCAGATGTATCTCCAACACACCTCCTGCATGTTCTCGCATACATTAGTGGTTTCAATAATTCAACTGTTGTTTTTGCATCCCTTTCTAAGTACACTCTTATTTAGAAACAGTTATAGTGATTGTAAATAATCCACCGATAGTTACGACCTATTGTAGATACATTACTAGAGTTCTACTATAAGTACGTGTGTTTGCTTTGTGTACGTAACATACACTACATCCGGGTAACGCAAAGTCCGTTTATTATAAATCTACACCTAACTGACCATTATGTTCATTGTCTAAACGCTACATGTCATTTCTTAACTCTGCCCATAGGAGAACGTATTGATGGCGCTGTGGTGTTGATCAGTGACCAGGCAGAGGTATTCGGCGAGCAGTGTGGGGACCAAATCAACTTTGCAGCTAATTCGTACTCGGTAACTATACCATTCGACTGCTGCTTATCTGGCCAATATGTCTCCATAGTATTGAAAGGGCGTAAAAACTTCCTTACTCTCTGTGAGGTGAAAGTTTACGGTCACTAATTATTTTCAAAAACGTCTCGCACTGGTTCGCATGTTCTTATAATTTAATATGAAAACTGTATAAGCCGTTAATTTTATGAGTGAGAATGTTAATTGAGTGATACTGGGTACATTGATGACAATGTAATAATTAGTCTACGTGACGTAATTAGGATTGTGAAATGTTCATAGCAAAATTGTATTAGATTGAGATATAATATACCTCAAAGAGATGGGGACGGTTGGTATAAAATATTGTATAAAGCTATCGGTGGTGATTCTTAGGTACTTTTTAAACAAATGCTTGTACAAATATGTTATGTATTGTATTGTTATTCGTTGTTATAAAGTGGTAGAGAACAATTATAAAAAAATCGGCACCATTGATGGCGCACTAAGAGAACTACTTCCTATTCTGTTGATTCATTACGGTGTTTGAATGAGCTGTACAGTATTGCATACGATCTCTAGATAGTCCCTCACTCCGAGGAACTGAAGGCATCCATATGATGTATTATGTCGTGATATGAAACAACTTAGAGCATTAACAATTAATGTCATTGTAAAATCAATATGATACAATCAGTTTTAAATTACGAAAATTTGCTAAAACAATTACAGTTTTCTTAATATATTTGCACGTGGGTTTCATGCTGTGAACAGCTCGTGTGCCCCATGCTGGAACACATCCTTATTTTATGAATAATACACCAGTAGTGCAATTAATACTCAAGTTATTAGTAGATAATGATCTAGAGAATTACCTAACTAAACTACAAAACGTTGGATTATGTGAAGGATTAAACGGATTTCGATTAGACAGCCACTGTATGAAAATGAAAAAAAATAGACACACAAAACGGATAAATCCCATTTAAAATCAACAAAGATGATTGCTATATAAAAAAAAAGCGTCGAATTCATTGCTTATTTTGTTAATCATGATGAGAAAATGAAGTTGTTGTTTTTTGTTTGTTTTTAAATTACCACTATCAGGATTATAGGTTTTTATGACGTCATGGCTTTGCGTTATCACACAATAATTTTAACGTTTATTCACAAGTAAATTAATTTCAACAAACATCTCCAAAATATCGAGCTACATTTGTTTAATTTTTATGGTGGTGATTTACACATGTAGTAAGAATAATCAATCCCTCACATCTTCATATTGGATTCGGAGAATGGTACAAACGCAATAATGGGATCTCCGAATTATTTTGCCATGGACCATTCTCTACATCTGTGAGTGATTCAATATTATTATTATAATATTATTACTAAAAAATGTATAAAGTAAAAAGTTTTCTTCAAGGCAATAACATCAAACACTGTATTGTGAATATTGTGCGTATAATTGTGTACATGTGTACGAATCGATGGTTGTTTCAGCTAGCTAACATGGAAATGAATTAATTGAATCAGATTTTAGTGGCATTAACAAAATATTACATTTCAAATAATCTTTGAGTCTATTATCGCTTTTGTCATTATCCTATTATAGTGTATTATTGTGATCTATATTGCTGATATTAAATTGTCAAAATTGCATAATAAATTCACATGTGCCAATTATGTCAATAACTAAGAACCCCTCATATTCAACATGTGGTGGCGCTATGCATACTATGCTCAAAACGAAGCCGATGTGGTTGTTAGCACCCTTTTTGCATAGCACATTGGATAGTAACTGTTATTCTAACACCATCGTTATGGGGTCACAATATGGGGTTACTGATCTGAAAGTATGAAATGTAACCAGTGCTTTCAGTTGTTTGTATAGCCGTCATCCGGTCCTGTACACAGGTAAGCCACAATTCACAAGCTACTGCAGTGAAATCAGTTGCATACAACATGAATTTAAAATTATTTAGATCCATGTGCGAGTGAAAAAACACGAAAACTACTATTACACAATCAAATGTGTTAATGGCGACCACAATATCACAAAAGCACGGCTGCAAACAACTCTAATTTGGGAAGAACATGACGTTGTTGGTTTAACCAATTAAGGAGTATGTTGTTGACATTAATAAGTGAGTCCTTCATTTATTGGTAATTCATAGCAAGGTTGTTCTCAGAGTGGGTAACTGTTTTTGTATCTTTCAAGTCGACATAAGAGAAAAATATGTGAACACATTAACAGTTTTGTCTAAATTCAACCTTGGTCCTGTTTTGAGTTTATCAAATAAGTTGTTTAATGTATCCCGAGAATATTGCGGTCAACCAGATTAACTACTGTTTTTTGTCTTGCAGAGAGACTTTTTTTGTTTTTAATCAACTTTATATTTGGTACTTAGTATAGTTGTCTTACAATAAAGTTTTCTCAGATATAGCAGTATAGTGCTTCACTTTTTAAGGTGCAATACATTCTTACTTGTTTTACCTTCTTATGCAATGTAATTTTCATATTTGTAAATTCGTTTACAATAAGATACAAAGGGCTCAAAATTTGGCTTTTTCGATTTCATTTTACAGAAATATATGTGTTTTCTCACAAGCAAACAAATACAATTCACCAGTAATGTTTCATTTGAATCAGAGCTTATCATGCACAATCATCCCACCAGAAACAATATCTCTCCAGAGGGACTTAGTGTTATGACAATCATATTTTACTGTCCGTTGACATTTTAATCATAAGTTTGTAACTTTTGCCCTATTCAATAGCATTTCAGTTTAACTCCACATTTTTTTTCACTTACCGGTGAGACAAACGAACTGTCACAAAGCTCTTTTGTTTGTTTTTTGTTTTTGTTTTCAGATTTCTATTTCCAGAAGCATTCCAATAAGTTTAAAGTATATCAAATCTAGATCCTCGTTTTTATTTTTCAACTCTTCTGGAATAGCAGATACAAGACACAACAATTTCGATTTTAAGTATTAAGGACCATTCTTCCCGCGCTATACCCTGCCATGGATTCACTACCCTTTCATTAATTAGGTGTGATACTTTTCTAATTCCATTTTGAACAATTTTTTTCATATACACTGATTTATCCCCAATAATTATTTCCTCGTTATTCTAAATAATTAGATTTTTTTACTTTCTTTCAGGTAATCTTTCAGTTTGATATAATTACATTTAAAAATCAACTTTCCCCCAAATGCTTCAGGTACATATCTACAAAAATCTTCCATGACTGTTCACAATCCGGATCAATGTACCTTTTGTCTATAACATTCTTTGCTGTGTTTTCATTATATAAATATTTGGCATAGCCAAAGCGCTTTGGCCCATGCTGAGCGACTTTTGATTAATTGCTTTTTGTGAGTCCTTCAATTTATAGTTTCTGTAAGGCGATATTAGTATGTTCATCGTTAAATCTATACAACTAAAGTTCAAGCCCAAGGAGTTTGGCGTTTCCCGTTGCCGTTTTAATTTCTGAATTATTTGCCGACTATGCGTAGTGTAGAGATACCATCATTCAAACTGGCTTTTCAGAGTTTAAGTAGCCCAGAATGACAGTAATACTGCTAAAAATCAAGACTAGAAACCTCGGGACAGAAGTTTCCCTCAGACGTTAGTACACTTTCCACTTAAGTGTGGATATTAACTCTGCAAAAAGTAAATATATGGCAACAGCAAAGTCTGTGGTTAATGATCTTGTAGTATCAGTGCTGAGAGATTAAGGATAGTAGGCTAGTAATCAGGGACGATTTGGTTTCCCATTAAATGGTACATTGTTCATCAACAACGGATAAACGTTACTATACAAGTGGAGGCAGTATGTATGCAGGAACCACTATATTATGATATGATTTCACAAGAGACTAATGTATTACAATGTTAATATTACCACAGTATCTAACAAATGTTATTTGATTATATGTGTATATAGGGTTCTAATCCAAATCATATTATGATAAGGGCCTCGTGAGCGACAATGTCAACTTTACTTCTGTCTACCCGAACAAAACACCCAACCCCAGCACAGAGGATATGTTAAACTGAATTCATATTACTGTATCATCAGAACCATCATCTGATGTCTTGAAAAGTATGGATGGAGGGGTGTTTTAATTAGAGCATACATAGTTTGAGATTTGCGTTATCAACTTGGATCAAATATTGTATGACTAAACATTATGTAGGTTTACATTGGAAGCTGGTTTCTAGCATGTTGTATGTTGGCGATACATTTTGCAAGTTAACTAGGATTCCCCAACGTCATCAAGCGGTTAGTTTCGGCCAAGTGGTCGGGGCCACTAGCTTCAACTCTTTCATTTCTTTTTATTGAGTAAATGGAACATTCAGGTTAATATCCAAACGTGTATTTTCATGTGGAGAAAGTGGTGTCAAATAGTTTTATACTGTCGCTAGTATTTAACCACATTTCTTAAAACAACAGAAAATATTTTGAAGCCATATCTTTTGATGCTTTTTGATTTTTGATTCTGGAAAATTCCCGACCGGTTGGTCAATTGGGGTTATCGTACATATACACAAAAGTGGAGACACCCACAATGTGAATAATTATCGAGGTATCACATTATTGGATAACTTCAGTAAAGTGTTCAGTGTTGTAATAAATGAACGACTTGTCTATTGGGCAGAAGTGGATAATAAATCGTCGGAATGTCAAGCTGGGTTCAGGAAAGGATTTTCCACCATGAATAATGTTTTCTCGCTGTACGCGATCATTCAAAAATATTCGGGGAAAAAAGGTAGCAGATTTTATTGTGTTTTTGTGGACTTCGCAAAAGCGTTTGACACCGTCAACCGCCCCTTGTTGTTTATGTCGTTGCTAGAAAATGGTATACGAGGTAACATGCTTACAATGATTAAGAGTATATACGAAGATGTTAAAACATGTGTTAGAGTGGGAATATATGACACAGAACAGTTCAGGTGTCCATTAGGGGTCAGGCAAGGCTGTGTATTAAGCCCCTTTCTTTTTGCTATGTTTATAAATGAATTGCAAGTAATGCTTGAAACGCTGGTCACATGGGTATTCAAATTACACAGGAATTGAAAGACCTGTTTATTCTGCTTTATGCAGATGATATTGTGTTATTTGCTGATACTGTAATAGATCTACAGAGACTCCTAAACGTTCTTAGTCTATTTAATGAAAAATGGGAAATGGAGGTTAATCTATCAAAAACTAAAATCATTGTCTTCAGAAATGTGGGTAAGAAATGATCATATAATGGCCTAAACTTAGAAGTGGTTCCTTATTATAAGTATTTAGGTATTGTTTTCTCTAGTAGGAACGTTTGGCACAAAGCTACAGAAACATTATCAGACCAAGCAAGTAAAGCTCTCTATATTGTTAACAGATATATGAAAACATTTGGGGAATTGCCGAATAATTTATATTTTATAATTTTTGATCTCATGATATATCCAATTCTGACTTATGGATCTGAAGTTTGGGGTTTCAAAAAGTATGAATGTATTGAGTGGGTCCATTATAAATACTGTAAAAGATTCCCTGGAGTTAAAGGGGGTACCCAAAATTTAGCTGTATTAGGTGAACTAGAACGTTACCCAGTTTTTACTACTACATATATTAAATGTATCAAATGGTGGTTAAAATTATTCTGTATGGAAGAAAGTAAGATTGCTAAGCAATCGTATCTTCTTTTAGTACGGGAAGACGAACGTGGTAAAATTAACTGGGTAACGCATATTCGAAATATTTTGAATATGTATGGATTTGGGA